AAGAGAGCAAAAGCTGACCCAGGAGCACTGCTTCTGGCCAATACACATCACAATTATGAACAAATATGGACCAGCCCCAAGAGGACAGCCCATGTTTCAAGTCTTCCCCTCCCCAAGAAACTTGCATTGATCCAGTTTGCACCTTCAGCACATGAACATGAAGTACAGACGGCAAAGGAATTTAGACCCCAGTGCCTGCCTATATACTGTGGACAGGTTGCAACCAGCCTCACATTAATAGTTACAATGCGAATGATCACCTTTTTTTAAAAAAAAACCACAAAACTACCTTTTTAAGGAAATAATAATCTGCAACAAGTACTCCCTCAGTACCCTCATCCATCAGTATCAAGAGAACTGTATTCCTTCCGCTGCGGATAAGTGTTCACAGACTACGAACTCTGAAAGAATACGCACACTGGGAATTACTTTAATCAAACAGGACTGGAACATATTTATTCATTTACCAGAGAACAGTATAGCCACTGAAGCAAAAAGTGAATACTCTCAAATTCCCTACCCCTCTCACAACACTCTATCTCTTTGCTTTTTACCTCACTGTGACTTTTTTTTTAATACGTAGGGAAAAACAAAGAACAAAAACTTGGTTAAAAGTTCAAATTAGCTAGGGAAAAAAAAAGACAACTTATATGTGAACAAGAAAAAGTCCTCCATCTCTATGGCAACCTTTCACAGAAGTTTATAAATTTGTCTTCTTGATTTTTAACACTGTATCTGAAAGAAAGAATACTAAATCCTTTCATTTTTAGTTTCTTGAAATGAATCTGCATCACTTTATAATCTCTGTGAATTAGCTATTTTCTCACAGTGCACTTCAACAATTTATCACATGCTTACTAGCAAAGAATTCCAAAACATGAAACATCACCAGGAAAATCAGAACTGTTTATCAAACTCACAAACATCTTTTGATATAGCTTCATCTACAGAGATTTTAATACACCAGATAACACTCCCAAATATACACAGTAAGGAGCACCGCTATCCTGGAAAGAAAATAATCTAAATGGCACCGACTGTATGTCTTCTTTCAAAATACTTGAAATACAAAATCACAAATAAATTTAGCATAAAGTAACCTCTAAACTTACAGAAGTTGAAATCCTCTTTGCTGTCTCTGTAATTGCCTGCTCCAACGGCTTCCAAAGGTGGAAAGCATAGCGACCTGAAAAAGGTTGAAGTTAAGTGAAATTATAGCCAACATTCACTAAAAGGGGAAAAAAAAAAAAAAAAGTTTTTCACTTACATTTATCGTCTTACAAAAGAAAGAATTTTGGTTTTAACTAAAACATCAAAATCCTTCCTCATTAACCTTTTTGTCTTGTTTATTTGTTGTAGATCACCCCTGCACTTTAGTGCTTTTCAAGGTGTTCCCTCAACAGTCGTTTCTTGACCCTGCACAGCCAAAGCCACACAGTAAACTTGCTTTCATTAACATTTTTCAATCTTTGTACTACTGGTGCAGGAAGGGAAGTTCAGTACAGTTCATCTAAAAACTTAGTAATGGACTGCAAAGATCCACTGTGTGTGCTCACAAAATAAATTGATTTAAATGCATTTCAACACGGTAAATGAAAATACCTGCCTTGCAAACTTTAAGAAAAAGAGCAGTATGAAACATTAGCTTTGGATATACTTTATTTATTAACTACTGTTCAAAGGTTATGTCTTCAAAAAAAGGAAGCTATGTACTACACATTTCCTGGTGTGATGTTGTATGCTTAACCGTACATTTTATAAACACTGCATTTTTTATTTCGTTACAAAGAGAGGATCTTCTGGAATTCAGAGCCATTCGACTCCCCACCGGCAGTGGGAGAATGTCTACAGCTAAGAAAGGCTAGAGAGAACTCTAATAAACTGCATTCTCAGAAGTACAAAGAAGGTCTATCAACTTCAGAATGTGCAGTGTGACTGGAGGATTTTCACTGTGAAACCTCTCTACCAATTATTGTTTTGATTAACTTTTCATTAGCAATGTAACTTACTAGAACACACAATGCAAAAGCTTATTACAAAATGTGGCTCTGCTTCATTCAAAGAGCATCTTGCTTTCATTCTTAAAATACACGATGTAACCAGAAGTTATTTTAGTCATCTAAGTCTGTGCCTATGTTAATACAGAAGTTAAAACCACTGTTGAGAGCATCACTGCTGAAATGCTGTGATCTACTAACATATTACCTCATCATCATCTTAATGCTTTCTGTTACCACTTCTTTGCTAGGTGCCATTAATTCTGCAGCTCAAACAGCAGAAGAACTTCTAAGAGCACTCTTCTTCTGCTTCTATACAAACACATTGATAAACCAACTGTTTAATGAGTATACGTCCCCAAAGATCTTGTCTTTCCTTCCCTTAACCAAAAAAAACAACACAACTGGAGCCAGCAAATGTGAGCTGAAGTTTGGTACAACTTGTTCATCTGTTGCATCTATTCTTGGTGTATGCATTTGCACAAAGCTGGCCACGGTTGCTTTTATTTGTAGAAAAAAATGGAAACTGATTTGAGTATTTCAACCAGAACAGACCACAGTTATCCAGTCTGAGTAACCCAGAGTACAAACGGTGTTAAGCCTATGCCTTCTGTTCAAATTAGAACCGTTTTTCAGAACACATAGTCCAGATGCATAGAGTTCAGGTAACAAACAACATGCTATGGAAACAATTTAGTATGACATATCACTATAGCCACTAAAACCTATTTTTCCCTACTTGAATTTGTTGAGCGTCACCTTCACATCACAAGATCCTGTGGCACTCTTCTGTACTGAATACTCTCCACTTTGCAATAAGCTATTACAAGGTAAACTTTTCACATGACATTCTGCAGACAAAAAGCAGACGGAACCTTTTAGTTGTGGCCCATTAAAATTAGTTTTTCCAACTGTGACTTTTCAAAAATAATTCTGGAAAAATCTGTCAAGGATTTTGAAGGGACAGGAACTATAGCTGGACACAATTCTGCACAGCAGTCTCCAAATTACCTTTCCACTTTCATAAAAATTTCATTAGCTCTTTTGGAAACAGGACCTCGCATGTGGCGGTTCCACACTCAGCTAACAATTTGCTTACCTGCAAATGCAACAGTTGCAACACCAAGTCCAACCGCTATCATAGTTCGGGCCTAAAACATAAAAACAGGAATCAGAGTGACATGCAAATTCTAATATGAAGTATATGTACCTTTTACTTTAATAGTAACTATTTCTGATGGGGGCATTTAATATATAATTTCCAAGGAGATAAAAATAAGTTCTGTATTCCACAGGCTACTTTAGATATTACAGTTCAGCCCCATCAATACACGCCAGCACATCAGGTTTAACATGGAACTACACATCAGGCAGTCGGTGAACGAACCCTGACGAAGCAGCTCACAGTATTTAGTGATAAAACACAAGGCAAACAACTATTCACGATGACTTGAAATTATTTGCACAGACTAGCTCAATACAGAACAGAAAGTGTCAATTACAAGAACATGAAGAGCTAAAAACCAATAATATTGTTTTGCAAAGTCCTTCATTGGGAATTTCATCACAGCACTGCTTGAAAATTATATTGAAATACTAACTAAAACACTATGGCCACAAATGTACATTAGCATCTTCCGTCTTTCAAACTTTGACTCACGGAAGCCCCAATAAAGACACAAAGCCCAGTGTCCTCTTTTTCTTACATAGTGTCAATCACTGGCTGGACTCTATCTTACAGTGCAAATAACTGTAAACAGGTAGATCTCCGACAGATTTCAGACAGTGTCCATTATTAGCTAATATTCGCTTTAAGTCCAGCTTGGCTCTTAGAACCAACTCCTCCCTACCCTAGTTTGGTGTATGTATTCTCCTACACAGAGCTTGAAGAAAGTCAGTCATCTCCAGAAGGACAATAAGAAGTATCTCCGCGTGGAACAAGAAGCTGCCGAAAGACATGTTAATAAAGCCTTGAAGAAGAGACAGAATTCTCATGTTTGCAGAATTCAGAAAGGGTAATGAGCACTGCAAGGGTTGGGAGCATCTCTCCACTTCTGAAAAGCCTACCTGTGATCTTTGAAACAAATGCAACACTCATCTGTGGGACTACCTGTCTCATCATACAATAGTTCAATAATGACTTAAACTTTCCCCCAGGAAACATGAGAAATCAGATTAGGACCATTTAGCTTGAATTCAAAACATAGCGACAGTGAAAATGCTTTTATCACTAGACTAACTCTTCTATATATTACTTACTTCTGCATTTATCCAATAACTAGTTTATACATTTTTCTATCAACATGCCTGACAGCAGGACTTAAAGCCCAAGTTTCAGCATGAGTGCCCTAATAACTGGATTTGGAGCCAACTTGCCTTTGCTACTAAGATTCTTGGGGATAAAATTCTCTGGTTTTCATTGTACCCAATCTCAATTCTAGACAGTAAGGGAGCACCAGAAGACTTGGGAAAAAACAGGTTCTAAGGTCTTCCAGAGCTGGCTTAGTAGGGGCTAGAACACAGGTTGACAGTTTTCCCAGCAAACAAGCAGCTGTAGAAGATATAGGCTCTGGCATTACACCCACTGGCTCCTACGGCCTCGGCTTTGAAGGCACGTAGCTACAATTGGCACGTGTCATATTCATAGAATCACAGAACTATAGAAAGGCTTGAGTTGGAAGGAACCTTTAAAGATCACCTATTTCAACGCCCTGGTCATGGGCAGGGACACCTCCCACTAGACCAGGTTTCTCAAAGTCCCATCCAGTCTGGCCTTGAACACTTCCTGGAATGAGGCATCCACAACTTCTCTGGGCAACCTGTTCCAGTTTATTACCACTCTCATAGGGAAGATTTTCTTCCTAATATCTAATCTAAACCTAGCCTGCTCTACTTTAAAACTATTACCCTTCGTCCTATCACCACAGGCCCGTACAAAGAGTCCCTCCCCAGCTTTCCTACAGGCCCCCTTCAGGTACTGAAAGGCTGTTATAAGGTCCCCCTGTAGCCTTCTCTTCTCCAAGCTAAACAGACACGACTCCCTCAGTCTGTCCTCATAGGGGAGGTGCTCCAACCCCTTGATCATCTTTGTGGTCCTCCCCTCTCCAACAGGTCCCTGCCCTTCTTGTGTTGGGGGTTCCAGAGCTGGACGCAGTACTGCAGGTGGGGTTTCACAAGAGCAGAGTAGCGGGGCAGAATCACTCCCCTTGACCTGCCTGTCACACTTCTTTGGAAGCAGCCCAGGATACAGCTGGCTTCTCGGGCTGTCAGTGCACATTGCCACCTCGTGTTAAGTGCTTCATCAACCAGCAAGTTGAGCTCAGTATAGAAAAGCAGTAGCCTGCTCTGAGCTCCTCTAGAAGCAGCTGCATTCCTCTACATCTAGCTTCTGGATCCTATGCGTTTTAACTAAGCATCTACTTCCCACCTACCTGAACGGGGCTATTTAGCTATCTGCGTAATACTATACTGCAGTTGCTTAGAGGTCTCTAGTAAATAAAAGTAAATAAATAAAAGAAACTCACTAAACATACTCACATGAGAGCTTCAAAGTTAAGACTGGGAGACTGGGCTTAGAAATTCTTAAAAGTCTATACCATTTTAGTAACCTTACTCCTACATTTCAGTGTAATCTTCAGTCTGGATATTAGTATTCATTTCTGAATGTGAAAGTAATGTAGTAGTTTTATGCCTGTTGTTCCTTTCAGTTCCACAAAATTTCCCCTCATCTTCAGAGCATGAAAAAATATAAGTACGTTACCTCAAATAGTAGCAGGTATAAAACAGAAAAGCATACAGCTCATCTCCTCACTAAACTAAAATTCTTTTAATTTCTTCTCTCAAACTAGTTTTCCCAGGCTCTCAATATTCAAACCATCTAAATATTCTTCTAATTCCTCTTTTTAGAACAGCCACAGCATTTCTGAAAATATAATCCTAAAGAAATTCTGTATTACTCTGATCTGTGGTTTGTGATGATGGATTTCTATTCAACAGAGACTGTCCTTGACTTGGTCAGAGTGACAGCGAGAATTTTTTACTAAGTGGTTACAACCAATTAAGAGCTCAACAATGTGTGAAATAGATCACACTGGCAAAAAAAAAAGATATTATTTTTTAGCCTGTGTTTGTCCAAATTAAGTTATACGTGCTTTGTCACCAAAAAGGTGGTTTAAGTCAGCAGCTTACAACAGGGTATGCTACCACAGTCATTAGCAGCAGACGCCTCACCACAGGTAAGGCCAAGCACAGAGACCAGGCTCATAAATAATACCAGGACTCTGTCAGTTTAGTGCAGAAATAGCTTAAGTGTTTTTGCACAGCAGTCTGGGAACCCAGCGAAGAGACCCCTGAGGGCCCTTGATAGAGTCAGTCATGTCCACTGGGATGCATTATTTCAATCTTGGCGGAAAGCGCTAGCAGTTAGCGGAAAACTAGTGCTGACTGGAAAACAGCGGGTAAAAATGAGGCATGGCAGCAGCTTTAGAGTAGGAGCAGTCCATGGTATCATCAGGACTACGAAGACAAGCCAGAAAACTACATAAAAGTGATGGAAAGCTCAACTCAGAGAGGCATGAAAGATCGTCCATGTTTTGAAGTGATGTTTAAGCAACAGACAAACTCATTTACAGTAACTCACCTTACTTGCACTATGAGCAGGTTAGGGAAGAGTCACTTACACACAAAGCAGCAAAAACTTGTCACAGCAAAGTACCTTGAAGGTTTGTTATGGTGTGAATATATCCTAACTATACATGTGATCAAGACTGATTCTGAGTCAACGCAACAAAGATTGCATGACTGGTCTTTTACTGACACAGTCTCTCATAAAATGGGTGGCAAACTCAAGTACTCATCAGTAAGTCCTTGAAGTCCAGCTTGACTTAGTTTCCTTTTCCATGCTCACTTAGTCTTCTAAATAATCAACCAAGTTAAGTTGAGGTTAGCCTGGTGCTTTGAAATGTGAAGTGCAAAGCTTTAATTAAATGCACTCGTTTCTCGTCAGTATTAAATGAAAAGCAACTCACTACCACTGTTCATTTACAGCATGCTAATGCAGCTACCACGATGACCATTTGCATTTTATTTCAGACTCTTGAAATCTAAAAAAGTAAATACGTACTTACTAACTTTCAATTATGAGATAATTGATCTCCCATCCCTCCAAAAAAATGCCATTAAGCAATTTCTGAGATGTAAGTTTTAAATGAAAGCATTCTATTAAGAGCCAAGAGGGGAAAACAAAGAAATAAAAGATTAAAAAGTAACATCTGTCCCTTTCTTTATTCAATGAATCAGCTCCCAAAGGTTAGTCACCAACTCATGCTATTCTGCTGATCTCAGCATTTTAATCTTGCTATGTAGGTTTCTGCAACAGGTCCTCTTTGATACATAAAACAAACAAAGCAAAGTTTTGATAAATCTGCAAAATCTACTGTTTTTAAAAAATCTTTTCAGAAACGTATATAAGAAAACACAAACATCAGAAAGGCAACTGCAAGACATGACTTACCAAAGTGTGGGAAACAAAAGAGGATAAAGCATATTAATTAACATACAGTATGTTCATTGGCATACATCATAGACTGTTAGCATACAAAGATCTGTGGCCTCATCCTTTGGTATCTAATTTTCCAATAGCTTTAGGTTTTTTATCAAGAGAAACAGGGAATAATGAGATATTTTTCCTGCAAATTCCTAATTCACAGTGCTCTGTTAACCATATTCGAAAAATATGACCTGTAATTCCTTGCATTGTAGCTTTTCCTTTTATGAAGTAAAAACCAAAAAGTCAACCTTACGAACAAAAGAATCTCAAATGCATAATTTTAAGATTTCAGCACAATACTATTACATCTGACTACAAGCTATAGGAATCACTTTTACGAATGTTAACGCATATCTCCTTGCATAGGATTTGGATTTTATAGTTTCTTCTGCCACAATCAGTGAAAATACTCTTCTTGGTCAAATGAAAAATATTTTGCTCTTCTCACAGCTAGGTTTTAAACACACAGCAAGAGCTCTATAGTCTTCTGCCTCAGAAACCTACAGTGCAATAGAATAAAAAGCACAGAGGAACTAACAATTTGTTCTGATAGGTCAGATGGCATTTTTGAAATTAGTCCATGCACAATCATGGGTCAG